TAGACATATATTTAGAACTAAGATAAACTCATTGAATATTAGTTCTAAATATTCTCCAAATCCTAAATGCTCTTGGTGATATATATACAGAATGATACAGTGTGCTATATAATGTAAGCTAGTTTGTTGATGATAGGAATGTGTAGATCCACACATTGGAAATATTTTTATTCCAATTGAGTGCCTAAGATGTAACAGGTATCAGGAATCAGTGAAATGAAACTTTATTCTTAAATACTTTTTGTTAAATGTTTATCTACTATATACTATCAACTATACTTACACTGTCTTAATATAGTTTACAAATGTGCTAGGATCACAGACCCATGCATTGATACTTAAAGGAAATATGTTAAAAGCCATGGTAAGGCCAGGCCCAGGGTTCTACTGGATATCACACATTTCTGTAATCCAAATTACAAACTTGCTGATCCTGACACAAAGTTTAATTTGTTCAGGTTAAAAAAAACTTAAAATTTATCAGTTTTATGTTAAGTTCTAATAAATTTATACCAGCTATATGTTTCATCTATGAGGCTATGTGGTATACAATTTTATCCCTCTCAAATGTGATCAATCTTGTCATAATTCCAGTTTAAACCATACAGATTCTCTTTTCTATTTTTAAACCTCTTCATGACATCATTTATTGTCTACTGAAAATCAATTTAGGAAATCAGGTTAGTCCACTAAGCACTTCAGATAAGGTGACTCCATGAAGCATTCCAAGATTATCACAAGGAATTGCTTTCGTGTGCCATAAAGAAAAAAAAAACTGAAATAAGCAGAATGGACTGCTGAAAGAGTTTACAGTTTTACAGCTCCTCCTGCTCCAGTGCTTAATTCACTCAGTTAAGTTTGGATTATCTCTCACAGACTGCAAGCCAACAGCCACCACACATACTGGGCCTGTGGTGCCACTTTTATGTGTGCTTCTAAATCAATGATGAGGGTATCAGAACCGATATTGGACATGGAGATGGCAAATTACAGTGAAGTTTTGGATCCCACTTATACAACTTTGGAATTTGAAACCATGCAGATTCTATACAATTTAAATGGTGAGTTCTCATATGTTTATAGGTAACTAATGTAAGTATAATGGGAAAAGTAAAACTGAGTTTACCAGGTGGCAGCTCACTGTTTTATTGTGGGAGAATCAAATGCTGCTTTTTAGGCCACAGTTGTGAGTTTTTGCACTCTATCACAGAACTTAAATGATATGGCTATTTTACGTTTAGAATAAGAAAAGTCTAGCTTAATAATAGGGCAATAAAGTCACCTCAGAATTCTGCCATGGGCCAGCTAGGTAAAGGACTAGTTTCAGCAGTTATTTTATTTTCTGTAAACCATAGTAATAAGTAATATCAGCAAATTGACTGTAAAGTGTATTTACTATGCAATATTTAAAATAACATGTGGAACACAGTTTTCATAGAATGCTGGAGAGTTTTAGGTGTTGCCTCCTTTCATAATTCTAGTTCTCAATTACTGCTGTATGGAACTGCATTCAAAGTTCCAGTTGGGGTTTTTGCATTGAATACAAAATGAAAGGAAATAGAAGTTTGTGTTATAATCTCACTTGTACAGTTAATGTTTAGCTTCACACAACACTTGTTATTTATCTACTGTAACATTTTAACTTGAAATAAGGCACAGATTGCTTAAGGTTCATGTCTTTATGTAATACAGTTTTCTATTGACTTTGAATTTAGATTCCAAGTAAAACTTTTATACAAAAGAAATCATTGTTGCTTGAATTTCTAACATCCATAGTTATTTATGCTTTGAAATTTGTGTGTTTTGTGGTGGTGATGGTGCATGTGTGTGTGTGTATGTGCTTAGCTCAAGATTGAGACCATATTTCTACTCAGGTAATTTTAATGTTTTACTATGTTTTTCAATACATATGATTGTTGTTCTTAATAAATGTAATGTGCACAATAATTTATTAGTGGTGAGATAATTTTTAATTGTCAGAGGTTCAATTCTGGAATTTGAACACAATTAAAATGAACCAGTACAATTTGTAAGAAGTCATTAGTGTGACTCCTTGTTTAGACTTGTTAAAAGATATTTAGTGTGATAGGATTTGTCTCGATAGGATTATTATTGCTTTAAAAGGCTACAGTTTAGTAAATATCAAGAAGAGAACTTCCATAAATAGTTAATGAAGGAAATGACTTCCTAGATTGCTAACTAACTTGGTTTCTTATAATAAAATTAATAATATACACTTAAGGTATTAAAACTGGGGCTAGAGTTAACTTTTTTGTATTTACACATTCTCTCAGAATACAAGATCCCTTAATATTTCTGGCCTCTATTTTGATTAAATTATGAAATAAAATTATTATTTATATTCAGTGTCACTTATTTAGCCAAATTCTCTTAGCTTTTTCAACTTTATGAAATAATATATGACAATACCCATCTACTCAGAAGTATTAGTAGTATCACAAAATGTAACTGTGATACAACCATTTTCCTTTGTAATATTGGAGACAAAATAATGAATTGGCATTTATTATTATTACATCCATTTATACTAAGTTATATGTATTAATATATTGCCTTATATGTTCAATATTTTAATGTATTCAGATGAAATATGTGCATAAAATATTGACCAACTTAATAATATTTAAACACATTATCTGGGTGAATATTCTAAAGCCTGTTATTTCAATTCTGTGTTTTAGATGCCCACATAATGCCAGGCACAGTTCTAATAACTGGAAGACAAAGGGGTGAATAAGATAGATAAATCCTCAGATATCATAGTTTTATTTGAAGGACAAATATTGGAGGTAAATGAACAAACCAATACATAACATAATTTCAGCTACCAATGTCATAATTAGGAAAAAAAAAACTAGATATAATTTTAAGCTCTACTTACATACCAGATAAAAATAACTTCAGAGAAAGTTTCACAGTAAATATGAGATTTCACCAGAAACCTGACAGAAGAAATTCCTGAATAAGAGAAGTTCTTTCCAGGCAGAAGGAACAGCAA